TAGATAGGGTTAGGGTAGTTGAAATTTAGAATTGAATTTTAGTTATAGCATTAAACATTTATTTATTGGGAGGTTTTTTTTTTATAATAGGTGCCTCTAGAAATGTTATTTCGGAAACCACCACAGCTACAATTACCACCACTGCCAAAATTACTAGTACTACTAGAACTACTACCACTGAAACCACCACCACCATAGTTACCAGTACCACTAGAACTACTATCACCGAAACTATCATAGCCACAGCCACTAGCACCACTAGAACCACTACTACCAAAATCACCACAGTCATAGTCATCAGCACTACTGGAATCACCACTGCCAAAACCACCACTACTGTTGTAACCACCACTGCCAAAATTACTACTACCACTAGAACTACTGCCGAAACCACCACTGGCCAGACTGTTGAGTCCAAAGTTATGGAGAAACATATTGCATGAATGTTGGAACTTTACAAATCTATAAATACTTCACTTAGGAAGTATCATGCAAGAATATATTGAAAAGGTAGTGTTTATAGAAAAAAAATGTCTAATAATACAATTAAAGCCAGTGCTATAGTTGCTATCATACCAGATCATAATATGAATAAGCAAACTAGAAAACGAAAATTACAGCCTACCTTTTCTTAACAAGCTGTATTCAAATTACCCATATTCAACAATTAAACTACGATTGTTGAAATAAATAGTGAAGACATTTGAGTTCCCATCAAGTGAGTCAAGGCCATACAAAAAAAACTGTAAACTGAGCTTTTTTTTTTTAAAAAAAAAAAAAACCAAAATAAAAACGACCAAAAAAAAAAAATTAAAAAATTGGTTTTTGAGGTGAAAGAAAATCAGATTTTTTGAAGTAGGAAGTTTTTTTAGAAGACAATAGAAAGATAAAAAAAAAATTAAAAAAAATTGAGTTTTTTAAGGTAGAAGAAAATTGTATTATTTGAGGTGAAAAGTTTTCTGAAGGAAATAGATTTTTTAGTTTTTTTTTTTTCTTTTTGATAGCATGATTTGTATGTCAAATTTTGATTCAATAAAATAAAGTTTTTGGGATTATCATGTATCTAGCATTACTGATTTCAAAATCAGGTTTATTGTAACATAAAAACAAAACAAACTAACCCAATATTCAAAAGCAAAGTTTAGAATCTTAATTCTATCAAATCTGAACCCTAATCTTAACACTAATCCCAAACTCTAACTCTAACACAAATAAATTTTGCACTAAATTCAAAATTTTTAGGATACCAACTTAGGTCCCATGATGTGATATACAGTTACTGATCATGTGAATTTTAGCATCATCCAATTTCATAATTATTCGTAATATTATATATATCACTATATATATTATATATTATAGAATGCGACCAAAAAATTAGTATATGATTTATTTCATAATCATAGACAGGCTAACGATGAAGAGATAAAAGAGCAACTTAAAGAAATACTAGAAAATAATAATGAATATAAAAAAATTTACAAAAATTAAATAAAAAAAGTATTTCGTTTAATAAGTTTTGAAGTGATAAGCTTTATTCAGAAGTAAATATTTTAATTCAATTTTACTTATATAAGTGCTACAAGAGTAAACCTGCAATTTTAAAAATAGATTATTATAAATTTCATAATCTATTTTTAAAATTGTATATTTACTCTTGTGATACTAATATATAATTACTAAATATTAGATTTAATTTATTTTATATACAGGTGCTTTTAGCTATTCGGTTAAAAAAAGTTATTATATTTAATGCATAAAAGAGAGATTGTGAAGCATTTTTGGTATTATTCGAATAAAACTATTTAGTAAAAAAGACACAAAAGTGCAAATAAAAGATTAAAAAAAAATCCTAAAAGGTATATAATGACTTATACAACTTTGTAACCCAGATAATTCAAATTCTGACATATTTTTTTCATTAATCATAAAATATATTTTTGTTTTCAATAAAGAATATACCCAAGCAAATGCTATTTGAACTCAAGCAGTTCTGAAGACTATTTTTGATAAGAAATATCTTTTACTAAAAATTAATGCAGATATCATCAATGTATAGATTCAGAAGCTTTTGAACTCTGAGGATAATAAAAATATATATATATATATTATTTATTTATAATTTATTTGAACTAAAGATACAGATATAACTTCATAACTTGTTATAACTATAGTGAATTACTATATTTTTTCTATAACTTATTATAGTTATAACAAGCTATAGAGTTATACCTACACCTCTAATTTGAATATATAATTTTTTTTAGAATACTGTTTTGCAAAAAGGTTCTGCAAGTTTTCTCACAAGTTCTCTCACAATATCAGAAGTAGTGATTCAAAAAAACTATGATAAATTATCTAGTAATGATGATAATGAAAATGATTGTAGTAATGATAGCAATTATAAAAAAAATTACATCACAAGAACAATTTAAGTAATTTAATTAGCAATACATTAGGTAGTAGATTAGTACTTAACGATTATTGTATATATTTTATATATTAGTTATAAGCTTTGCTATTTATTGCTTAATATATTAAAAAAATGTATTTTATAATTAATATATATTGCTTAACATAATAATATATATTTTTAAATAGCATTAGTTAATAAAATTAGATGTTTAACACAATGATACATATTTTTAAATAATATTAGCTAATAAAATATGTTGTTTAATACGTTGTAAAATTGTTTTTCAATGCTAATAGTTTGTATAGGGTTCGTTGTTTTACTGTTTGTAGCATTAAATAACAATTAATATTAGTTAATATTTTTTAATACCTTTTAAAACTTCCTAATGTAGATGTATTTTTAGAACAACT